CTCCCAAGGATATAAAAAAACCAGTGACAGACTTGCGAGAAGAAGGGCATGCTGCCTAGTCAGAATCAGAGAAGACCTTCAAGGAGAAATCGGAAGAACTATTGAGAAGTAAACCCTTGGCAGGATCAGCAACTAGATACCTCAGAACATGAAGGGCAGCTTTCATGTGAGCAGACCTCGGAGCATGAAGAAATTGACTCAAGTGTTGAACGGAGAAAGATATATCAGGTCTTGTATTGCAAGAAATTGAGCTTCCCCACCAACCTTCTATAAGGTGAAGGATCTGGTAATAAATCACCCAAATCAGATGTGAGTTTGGTATTCAATTCCAGGGGAGCCACAACAGGAGAAGCAGAGGAACAATGAAATTCAGCAATCAACTCCTTGGTGAATTTATGTTGGTTAATAAGAAACCCTTGAGGCTGCCTGGACACCTCTAGCCCCAAAAAGTAATGCACATGACCAAGATCCTTTATCTTAAATTGATTATCAAGAAAGGACTTGAGAGACTCCATTTCGGAGATATCATCCCCAACTAATAAGATGTCATCCATATACACCGCAAGGATGACAGTGGAATGGGTTGACGATTTAATAAAGAGTGAGTAATCATTCATACTGGACTTGAAACCTCTGGATAAAAGGGCAGTGGACAGCTTTGCAAACCATTGTCGGGAGGCTTTCTTGAGCCCATATAAAGACTTTTTCAGCTTGCATACCAATTGAGAACCAAAATTAGAATGACAAGAGATTGACATGCCAAGTGGAATCTTCATATACACCTCCTCGGACAAATCACCATAGAGGAAAGCATCGTTGATGTCTAATTGTATAACGGTCCATGTGTGCTTGGCAGCAAGGGCAAGTAGGCACTTAATAGTAGTAAATTTGACGACAGGGGAGAAGGTCTCATTGTAGTCAATCCCAGCTTTTTGAGTGTCACCGCGAATGACAAGTCGGGCCTTGTACCATTCAATACTGCCATCAGATTTCTGTTTGACCTTGTAAACCCACTTGCAAGGGATAGCTTTCTTCCCAGCTGGAAGAGGAACAATGTCCCAAATGTGATTTGCATCCAAAGCTTGAAATTCTTTTAACATAGTTTCTTGCCCTGCAAGATTAGAAACAGCCTGCTAGTAATGTTGAGGCTCAGATATGCAAGATGCAGGGATTAGATCCTTGGAGTTAGAGGGAAAGGAAAGGGGGACAAAGTTACAAACATAATCTTGAAGATAGGGAGGGGGATGTGAAGTCCTAACGGACTTTCTAGTGGCAGAAACTGAAGTTGAGGAGGAAGGGACGGAAATATGAGAAGGAACAAAAGGAGAAGGGGATAGATCCAGAACATAGTCGGAAGGAATAAAAGAAGAAACAGGAAAGAAAGTAGACGGGGAAGAAGTGGAAGGAAAAATATGTTCAACAAAGGAAACATCTCTAGAAAAGAAGATTGATTTATTGTGTAAATGAAGTAATTTGTACCCTTTCTTCCCAAGAGCATAACCCAAGAATATACAGGGAATGACTCTTGACTGAAATTTGTCTCTATAGGGTTTTGGGACAGTAGCATAGGCCAGACACCCAAAAGATCTTAGATGACCATAACTGGGAGGCTCCCCATGTAACACTTCAAAGGGAGATTTAGAGCCCGTTTGAACATAAGAAAAATTTTACTTTTTTTGGAAAATGTTTTACTTTTTTTCGAAATCAGTGTTTGGCCATAAATTTTTAAATTTTTACTTGAAGATGGATTTTGGAATTTTTCAAAAATTTGAAAAACTCCAAAAAACTTTTTTTCGTAATTTTCACTCAAATCACTCACAAAACTTAAAAAACAACCTAAAATTATATTTATGTCCAAACACAACTCTAGTTTTCAAGTACCATTTTCACTTGGAAATAAATTTCACTTTTTTTAGAATTTTACATTTCTTATGTCCAAACGCCCACTTATTTGAAAGAACAGTTGAAGGAAATCGATTGACTAAGTATGTGGCTGTTAAGATACATTCGCCCCAGTATTTAGTAGGAAGCTTGGACTGAAAAAGAAGAGCCCTTGCAGTTTTCAATAAATGCTTGTGTTTTCTTTCGACAATCCCATTTTGTTGTAGGGTTTGGGGACATGTGGGTTGATGAGAAATTCCAAGAGAAGAGAGGTATTCTGCATAAGAATTGTTGGACCCCAATTTAAATGCATTATCGGTTCTTAGAATCTAGACAGAAGTGTTAAAATGAGTAGAAACCATGGCTAAAAATGCTTTAATGACAGAAAAAGCATTGCTTTTGCAAGAAAGTAAGTGAGTCCAGGTAACCCTACTAAAATCATCTACAATAGTAAAGAAATACTTGAAACCATTGTAGGCAAGTGTATGGTAGGGTCCCCAAAGATCAATGTGGACCAAGTGGAAAGGTTTTATGGAGTGTATAACACAATCAGAAAAGGGCAATCTTTGTTGTCTAGCCATTGGACAAATTGGGCAAATAAATGACTGTCTTGAAGAAGAGTTGATAGATATATGAGGAATGCATAACATCTTAGCAAAAAGTATATGGCTCACTCTTTGATGCCATAAAACATCAGTTTTATTAATTGAAGAAGAGGTACAAATACTTGGAAACATATCAGTACTAGCAGTAAAATCAGAAACTAAAGCAGAATTAAAAGGAGACTTAAGGGAACCACTATTAACAGTAGAAGCAACAGCAGGTGATGGCATATTGAAAATGTATAGTCCATGCTCCTTTACCAATTTCCAACGGCCTCTTCAGAGAAGGGTCCTGTATAGTACATGAAAATTTGGTAAGAAGAGCAGAACAACAGAGTTGAGAAAGAAGTTGATGAATAGAAATCAAATTATACTGAAAAGTTAAAACTAACAGGACATTTGACAATATGAGATCAGGGAATAAGGAAAGGGAGCCAGTTAAAGTCACCTTAATCTTATATCCATTAGGTAAAGTTACAAGAGATGGGATTGGCAAAGGTTGTATATTGTGTAGTAAATATTTATGAGGGGTCATCTGATTGGTGGCTCCTGAGTCCAATATCCAAGGATTATATCCTATATAAGATTCACTGCATACAAGAAAACCATGAGATTAACCATAAGGACTGTTTAACCAACCTACAAAGTTGGCAGAGGCATGGGTGGGAACATTCTGGGATGGAGTTGATAGCTAAGCTTGTTGAAATAGAGACAGGAGGTGAGCATATTGTTTCTTGGTGAACCCATGTGGAAGATGAACAGATTTGTGAGGATCAGGATTTGGATTCTCAGAAGAAGACTCCATTTGAACAAAAGCAACTCACTTCTTGTTCTTGGTGAACTTGAAATCAGTTGGGAATCCATGAAGTCGATAACACTTGTCTACTGTATGTCCACCCTTTATACAGTACTTGCATGACAATGATGACTTCATTGGCTCAAAATTGACCTTCTGAGTATAACTTCTGTTGTTTGTGGGCTGACTTGAACCAGGATTAACGGTATTAACTAAGAAGGAGGATGAATCAGCAGAAAAAATGAAGGGGCTAGACTGAATCTCCCTCTGTTTCTCATATCCAATCAACATAAAGTAAACCTTCCCCACAGAAAGTACAGGACTCATCATGAGGATGTTGCTTCGCACTTTTGCATAAGTGTCATTCATACCGAACAAAAATTGAATGAGTTATTGAGCCTCAGTGAGTTCATGAACAGCACCACAAGTCCAGGGTTTACCAAGGGATAGAGTACTGAGTTCATCCCACATACCTTTGAGTCTAGTTTGAAATAACTAGCTATGTCAGATGGACCTTGTGTGGTGGAAGTAATGGCTCTCTGAATGCTGTAATAAAGAGAAATATTCGACTCACCAAATCTCTCTTCTAGATTGGTCCAGGCATCCTTAGCACTTTTATAGTAGAGTACAGGTTTAGCAATGTCCTTTGAAAGTGCATTCATTATCCAAGCCCTAACCATATTGTTACATATCTCCCAGTGGTGGAAAGTTTCTGAATTTGCAATAGGTTTAATTAGGGTTCCATCAATGAGTTGAATTTTGTTCTTCGCTGAAAGAGAAATGAGTATTCCCTCTTTTCACTCCCTATACCCCGTCCCAGAAAAAAGAGTGGAGACTAGCATAACCCCTGGGGTGTCAGAGGGATGTAGGTAAAGCGGATGAGAGGGATCTATGGCAGTAGTCGAGGAAGAAGACGATGAACCAGTCATAGTTACTTCACGCAATCACACACTAATACTACGAGTAGCAATGTGAAGGTAAATTCAATAACAGCAAGTAACGAGGATGCAAAACTACACTGATATAGTACTCAAAAATAGGAAAATTTGAGAGAAAGAGAAGTATCACCGCGATGCAAAGACGAGATATGAAGCAAAACCCTAGCTCTAATTCCGACGAACCAGTGGTGTATTCAGAATATTGCCGCCACAAAATCATGATTTTGATTGCACAAAATCATAAACAAGCTCAAAATTCAGCTTTGAACGGACACTACAAAAAAATGGGTAAATTGCGGAGGTTAAAATTACAGTTTACGGAAGTTTAAATTACAGTTTACGGAGGTTAGAAACCTCCGCTATTTGTTGTCACGGCGGTTGACCAGGCCCCCGTAGTAAGCATCGCCACTATTAATTTGCGGCAGATAAATGCGGGGGTTTCTCGAACTGCCGTGATAGCAAATAGCGGAGGTTTCTAACCTCCGTAAATTATAATTTTAACCTCCGCAATTTCATGCGCGAAAATAGATTTATATTTTTAAATTTTAATTTTTTTTTTTGAGTATAGGGGTTGTTAACCCCCGCAATTTCTTATGTGTACACCATTAGGATCTGTTCAATTTCTATTTGGGGGTTTTATCCCCATCTATTTTTAAATATATTATAGAATTAATTTTTTATCATCAATTTGCCATACTTTTTTCCTAATATCAATTGAAATATTTATGCTTAAACAAAAATATTAAAATTAAAAAATATCAATATTTTATTAACCGTGAAAAATACTATGACAGAGTAGTATCATATGTCATCAAGCTAAATTAGAACATAGTTAACCATCTATATTAGTCATCTATTGCATTGTCATAATACATTCACTTCAATTAAAATGAATCTCAATGGTTGTCACTGGGATTACTAGCACCAGAAGATCGTCTTGCATCCGTCGGTGAAACGGGTCTACTAGCTGCATCACTTGGCTACAACAAAAAGTTAAAAAAAATACAACTATTAAGAGGAGTATCAGGAAATAAGTCATTGAGATAAAATATATATTGTCTACTTAAACCAACAAAAAAGAATGAAACGGGACAAGGTACGAAGCCTCTAGTCTAAAAGGTAGACGGTATGCAACACGAATACAAAGAGAATAAAGCATTTGTTTAATAAGTGATACAACATTGCTGTGCCACAGAACCAAGAAGCAGTGATACAACACTGCTGCTACCACGCCCACTACTTAGGAAACAGAATGAATGACATTGATTTCAAATCCATTCAAAGCATTCTCTTAGTATCTATACTGACAAGTAAGTATTACTCAATAGGAAATTTTCTCACCATGTGATAGAACATGCAATTAATGGGAGAGGAACTCTGTGGTTTGGGTGTAAAAGACCTAACAAATCTGGAGAATCAACTGGAAATGAGCTTAAGGGGCATCCGTATGAAAAAGGTCAGCAACCAACCTAATACTATCTAATTAATATTATTGGAACTGTAAAATACTAGTAGGAACTAAACATGTTCTAGCTTTATAGGAGCAAATATTAAAGGATAAAATTCAAAAGCTAACTCAAAAGGTATGTGCAAAACTGTAGAGCAGCTTTCATCATGTCAAGAATAGATCAGCAGAATAAATAAGTAGAACGATCAAATCAAATCGAAAATGCATTAAACACAAGACTAAAAAACAAATAGTACGAGAGAAGAATAGCTTGTCTCATCTCAGCACAACTTAGCTAAAGAAACTAGACAATCATCCATGAAATTGAGATGAAAATGAAAATGATTTTAAAAGAGATTCAGCAAGTTCAATATCTAAATTTTACTCCAAATAACATGTATGAAAAATAAAATTGCACAATACAGCAAAAGTAAAAGAACTTAGCATTTACCGTTGTAGGAGGAGAAGCAAAGATCCCAGCAAATTATTCTGGTATTGACCCTTCCTTCATTATCATGTATGCTTTGAGAGTATTCATCAATTGATTGTACTTCTCTTGGCATCCATAAGAAGAACATCCAACATTATTACTCATAATTCTAATATTACCAAGATGAAGATTTGTCTCTCTGAAAGTATTGCTTGGAGTAGCTCCTAATCCCAAACATCTCACCCTTCCAGGATGTTCTTTGCCTATCACCTTACCAACAACATCATTTGGAGAAATTTCAGACTCATCCACTGTACTTTCACTCACTACTAGCTCATTTTTTTCCTAAACACAATACACATCAAAAAAATCTAGTAACTGGAATTAACAATTGCCTGTAATGCAACTATCTTTTATCTGTTAAATTTCATGCTATAAACAGGAACTGAATCAAAGGCTCATATACATTGATCCAGTGCAATAGAAACTAAAACCACAAGTCTTGTAAAGATTGTTGAAAACAATGGAGCCGGCGTGCCATGCTAATATTCCAGATATGCAACTTTCAATGCAGTAAAAAATTTCATGCCAAAACTTCTTTCACTTTTTCCCTTCTTCAGTAAACATGCAGAAGAAAGGTTTCCAACCAAACAAATGATCCATTTTCTTAACAAATAATTTGGCACAAAGAGGATGGCCATTAACAAAAAAATTGTGAAACTAAGAACAACTTGACCATATGAAACAAGCGATTTAAGAATATAAAAATTGCATCATAGAATATAAAAAACAGACTTTTACTGATAATTGTCCATGGATTTGCAAAGCAGAAAAGATAAAAATATTCGAATACTCGGTGTAAAATGAGATATTGGGAAGGTCATATAATATTATGCGGTTAGAGATGCTAAACGAAACCTTTCTTAGCGTTACTGTTCTAACAAAAGAAGAGCAACTACTGAAGAAAAATGGGGCTTCTTAGATGGACCAGCTATGCAATTTTCAACTTTCTGGATTGCTATGCTTCCAATCCCAAAATACAATTTTAACTTTCTGTGTATCTAATCTAAGTAAAGCAAAAATATTCCAAATGCACACCACCAATCTCTCAAAGAAAAAAAAGATGCGGCAGATTAAGAAGAAGGAATTAAGAAGAAGAAGGATAATGATTACCTATTCCATCAACAGTCCAATGATGTGAAGACTCACGTTTAGCACGCTTATTGGATGTTGACTAGACAATAGCTTTCCGGCGAAGACTTTAACAAGGAACTCTGCCTTTGGACATTTTTTAGATTTCATAGATATATATTATTAAAATAGTTCCAGTGATTCAACCTTGTGAATATTTTACTTTGACAAAGAAAATGATTTCCATTGAACGTTATTTTACGTCGACCTCTCTCTTTAACGACTAAAAACAAAAGCAGTGAATGCCATGACACTCCAGCACACAAATTGTTCAAAGTCTTCCAAACAAGTCTAGCTAAGTTTTACCATTATAAACATTTCTGTAGAAATATTTTTAAAAAGAAAAGTATTTATTCGAAGATGGCCGGAAAAAATGGGTTTGAATCAATGGCTAGAATAATGGCTGAGAATGGACAAAAATGGCAAAACCCTTCCAAGTTGAGTTTTGTACCAAAATATACTAATAAGAAAAGGAAAATGAGAGAGGCGGTGGAATTGAAATTTTAAGTTTGTCCAAGGTCAGAGTCACAGCAGTAAATATACAATGCAGAGGAAAAGAGGCAAAGAAAAATTCATATTGATAGACCATAAAGGCCTACAAAAAAATAAAAGCACACAAAAATTCTTGCAGAGAGATCGACCATTAAGCCCAAAAGCACAAAGAAAGTAAGAAAAAAGCACACAAAAATTCATACAGATCGATCATTTAATACACACAAAAAATCAATATCAAACACTATTTAATCATACAGATCGACCAAAATACACACAAAAATTCAAAATTAACAGAAACCCCATGAGGGAAAATAAGGAAAGAAAGAGAAAAATCAAACCTGGGAGGTGTAAAAGCGGTGGCGATTGAAGAGGAAAAGAGAAGTTAGAAGAAGAAGAAGAAGAAGAAGAAGAAGAAGAAGAAGAAGAAGAAGCGAAGAACTTCGATTAATGGATGTGTAAAACCATTAAGCGGAGAACTTCGATTAAGAAGAAGAAGGAAAGGAGTATTTTTTTGTTGTGAGGCCGAAGTTTCTTGGGCGAAAAAGATTGGGAAAAAATGGAGGGAGCGTGAAATAAATGACCCGCTATTATTTTAGGGTTGCGGATGTTTTAGACCCCCGTAAATTGTATAATTTTGTGGGGCTAATATATTACCGCAAAATTATGCAAATTGCGGAGGTTACTTATACCCTCCGCAAATAAACCTCCGTAATTTACCCGTTTTTTTGTAGTGGGAGAATGAATGAAAACGCCGATCACCGGAGACCGCCGAAAGATGAAATGAAACGACCACCGGAAAAAAAAATCACCGTTGACTGTGGAGAGGACGATGCAGATATCCAGGATTTGCTCTGATACCATGTCAAATTGAGTGATCTACAAGCAAAATGAACGATTTCTAGAATGAAAATCGTGATTCGAAATAGAGAAAAGAGGGCATGAGAGAGAAAATTCTAGAAACAATATTCTATTATTTGATCCTTTTGTGAAATGTACAAAGTCTCCCCTTTTATATTTTTTGAAAATAAAACAATAATATGAAAAAATAAAAATACAATTACATATCTGATTTATAGCTAACTACATTGGGCTACAACTAACTACACTATGTTGGGCCTTCACTTGATATTGTGGCTGGGTCCAAATCAGATTCTCTATCGCTAACAGTTTTTAAACTTAGTTTAATTTTGAGGAGGTAAAAATTATAAAATTTTTGCCAGTTATCTTTTTTTTTTATCAGTTGTTTAGTAATAGAGCTATTTTTATTTCTCTTGCAACTTATCACGGTCTTAAACTCTTTTTATCGGAGGCTCAAAAATTTTTGCAAGCTATTGTAAATGTTAGATCACGGTCTAATGTTTTATCTATAAAGTTGAGCAAATTGAAAAGTATACGAGCTAACATTTGACCCGAGGCTCATACTGTCTGTAAAGGTTATAATCACTAGGGATATATTTTCACAACTTTTTAAAATAGAGACAAAATTAAAATAATAACCTAAAAAGGGTCATTTGTGTAAATCAGCCGGTGAAATTGAACTCCAACCCCAAAAGAAAATGAATACAATTCTCGTCCAAGGAATGAAAACGTGCTAAACCATGCATCTAGTGATCTACAAATATGTCACTTTCCAAGATTTTCTCCACTATATTAATACGTGAATATCTTCATAAATAGTTATAAAATAGTGGGAAAAAGTAATTGCATACTTCATATATTCGTTACTTTCACTACGATAAATGATGAACTCGAGAAATATATTGTCAATTTTCAACTCTTCACAGGAGAAAATAAGAGATATAGCAAATGGGTTCAAGTACGTTCTTAGAGTTACTGATGAATATGATTTGTGCCTTAAGAATATACTCCTAAGTATTATAATATTTACATTTGATTTACTGTCTTTAAATTTGGCAGCTTTTCTACCAAAAGAATAAAGAAAAAGAAACACTTTTCTTTGCCCAACATTTTGTTAGTGAATGGTAAATGAAGAATTAATGTTGTTTTACAGCTATTGTACTATTTTATTCTTCTTGTTGATTCTACTACTTGTCAAACCTACATAAAAACCTTGACGGTAGGAATGTCTTTTTTCCCACTTGATGCCTATGACCTGATTAATTCGGAGTCGCTCAAAGTAAGATCTATCAAAAAGGTAAGCGTATTCTATTACTTCGTTCGTTTCAATTTAGATGATGTAATTGATTTGGCACAAAGTTTAAGGAAAAAAAAACTTTTGAAATATATGATAAAAAAAAACTTAAGAGCAAACGTTTTTTGGAGTCATGCCGTTTGTGTAGTTATAAAAATTTCTTATTAAAGGTAAAGTGATAAAAATAAAATGTTTAAAGTTAAATTATACATAAATATAAAAATATATCATTTATTTAATGGACTAATACAGAAAGTGTGTAACAAAGGGAGTATGGATTTTTTCGATTCTTAAAACTTGTTTCCGAGAATTCGGATTAAGGGTAAAGGACTTTTCAATCCAACTACAATTCTTAGTTGTCAGAGGTAGAAAAGTCATGGGGTGGTCTCCGTCAACTTGTGAAAGACATGCACTTAATATATAGGGGTAAATGCAATTCATTTCGTGGAGTTAAAATGAATTACTATAAAGAATAGCTATACGCCTAGTTTCTCTTTATATTTACGAACTAAACAGTGTCTCTCTTTAATAGTGATGCTGTTTAACTTCCACATGGGTAGGGAAAGATTATGAAAGAGCTTTCAGTAAACTTGAAACTTGTGGTTCACAAAGATACCATGCATAAGAGACAATTTTTTTATTCTAGACGTAGAATTAAGCCCCACAAAGTGACACATGGGATAGCGGAGAAAGGCATACAATTGGATGGAGTAAAATTTTATTTGTACTATATCAAATTAATAAATATAAAAAATATTTTTTGCGTGCATATAGTTAGGTTACAATTATCGCTTTGATTCTCTCAATCTATATCCGTCTCCTGTCCAAGACAATATGTCAATATATATTTTCACTTTAATTTTGAACTATTAAGGTTAAATTATGTTAACTATTAACTTAAATAGTTTAATTTGAAGTAAACATTGGTACATATAAGTGTTTACCGTTAAAACAATATTCCACAATCTGGGTTAAATTGCTGCTGATGGATCTTTCAAGAATTTAGTGTCAAAGAGAAAGAATCCTCCCCACTTCTTCTTGTTTGGGGGTAACACTTTCACTGTCAGTAAAATGTCATTTTTTTTAACATGTTGACAAGCTTAGCAAATAGCGAAAATGACTAGCTCTATGGTCGGAAATTACTGGCTGGTAACCACTAAGTTGTGTAATTAATATACGGCAAAATGCAATTCAAATCTTGGAATTTAAGTGGATTATATGGAAATAGCTACTCGCCTAGCTTCTTTTGTATTACCAAGTAAAGATTTGTACGTCGTTCTTTAATTGTGATGCCGTTCCTGTTTAACTCCCACATGGGTAGAGGAAAGTTGTGAAAGAGCTTCCAATCCTTTTATTTTATGGTTATCAAAATATATCATGAAAAAACAATTTATTTTTATCATTAAATGGCCGCTAATGGGGGTTTTTCAAGAATTTAGGGTCAAACATTTATCTTTTAACTTTTTCCTCTTGTTTGGAGTCCTTTATATATGGGGGTAACACTTTCACTGTCAGTAAATTGACATTTTTGTGAACATGTTGACAAGCTTAGCTAATAGCGAAAATGACTCTCGCGCGCTCTGCTCTCTTGTTGAATTTAGGTAGTACTTTATTCCTATGAGTTTATTTGAATTTTCTTTTTAGAAATCTTAAATGTATTATCGAATCTAAATTTATTGTCACAAAGTTAGAGCGGACAAAACTACACATACATGTCCTTGTCAATTAATGATTTAGATGAAGCAGCATTCTACATTTTCATGTTTACGCATTAGCAGCTCTTGCTATGGTGAAGTTATTAATCATTGATCAACTATTGGAAAAAAAAAAGTATCATTTTTAACAGTAGGTTATCATCAAAATAATTTGGGCTGATTGGTGAAAGAGAAGTTCGGTGTCTTAGGTGTGAAATTTTTTTTTGCGGTCCCTAGCCCTTTCGTTCGCTGTTTAGAGACTTTTTCTAGCATCCCCTGTGATGGATCCACTATCCACAACCAAATACATAAATCACAGATTGATATATTGATACTGAAAATAAAAGAATTACAATAGAAAGTAACTGTACCTAAGGATAGTAACATAAAGAAAGGAGGATGGGAAGACAGAGCCACATAGAGAACTAGACGAGGGAGAAAGATCAGATAGGGAAAGCTTCAAACAATATTCAGACTGCGTACATAATGTTCTTACTCTGTTATTTGACTAATTCCCTCAACCAGGGTCTAATAATCTTTGGGGAGGCCTTGTTGTTCTCTTGCTTTTCCTGACTGGCCCATTACTTGCATTCTCAGCTGGCCCAATATCTTTCTCAAGTCCAGCTTCATTTTCTATGGGATCTTTACACAAATAGCCGGTCATATTAATTATTTACTTTTTCTAGTCATATACATAGATTATACATTAATTATACACAATTATATACATACAATACCTAAATTATGCATATATTATACTTCCACCGGCTATTTTTAGTTTAAGTAATTGGGTGAGCGGCTATTTGGGTTAATTCTTCATTTTCTATCGTAACATCCCCCCTCTCTCCCAATTCAAACATGGTATCTTTACACAAATAGCCGGTCATATTTATTATTTACTTTTTCTAGCCATATACATAGATTATATATTTATTATATAAAATTATACATATTTAATACATAAATTATAACTCCACTGATTATTTTTAGTTAAAATGGTTGTGTGAATGGCCATTTGGGTTAATTCTCCTTCAAAGATTTTTTGGAAAAAAGAAAATTGAATTGGGTGGGAGCAACATGATGGTGGGCTGGTGTCTTAGAAACGCTATTGAAGGTCCAATCCAGGAGGTAATGAGTCTTGGGCTCAAAATTTGTGTACGATCCTCACGTTTTCTGAGTACATGTCCAGTATTTTGCGAAGCTTTTGCATCTATGCTCAGCTTAGGAATCACAATTGAACATATATCCACTTTACAAAAAACTTTACAAGCCTATCCATTTTACGATCAACTTCAAACTTATCGGGTCTGAAGTTAAAAAAAAATTGCAAGTAAAAAAATTGCATTTCAGATGGACTTAAAACCAAATAGGTCTGAAGTACAACCAATGGTTTCGTGCACTTAAGGCTAATAAATTTAAATTGAAAAATTATACTTCATATATACTTAAGGCCAAAAAATTCGAAGTGCTACAAATGTTTTCCTACACTTAAGGCCGATAAGGTTAAAGTGAAAAATTACACTTCAGATGCACTTAAGGCCAAATAAGTCTGAAGTGCAACCAATGGTTTTATGCACTTAAATAGAATAAGTCTGAAGTGAAAAATTAAACTTCAGATGCACTTAAGGCCAAAGGTCTGAAGTGCAACAAATATTTTCCTACACTTAAGGCCAATAAGTGTGAAGTAAAAAATTACACTTCAGATGCACTTAAGGCCTAAAGGTCTGACGTACAACCAACGTTTTCATGCACTTAAGGCCAAATAGACCTGAAGAGCAAATTGCCCAGAAACAGAAATTTGTTCTTCGAATTTTAACCATCCAATATACGATTTAATACACAAATATATTCCAAATGAGCTCAAATTTGAAACATAACCTCTAAATATCATCAAGAACAAACCCCAATCATAAATTTGTTTAAACAACAATAAATCTAATGAACTCATTTTGTAATTAAGAAAAAGAAAAAAAAAAAACCTAAGCAATAGCAAAACATAAAGCGCCACAACAGCTCACCACTATAAAATATCATAAATAATCTTAAAATATATTCGCAAACACTATATAAAATCATTGTTA